AGCCGATCTGAGGCCAGACCTAATCATCACCGATCATCTGATAGCACTGCCATCGATAGTCACATCAGGTATTCCCTGGATATTCAGTTGGAGTAGTAATCCTCTGGGTTTAGACACCGGGTTTGCCGATCCATCGCTTCCGCCCTCAATGTTGGGTACGATTTATATATTTTGTTAATTAATTAAAATATTTTCTAACCTTTAAAACTTTTTTCTCAATTATAAGGTTTGCCGACAAATAGCAGCGAAGAGAAGATCCAAAAATACCGCCAACTAATCAACGACGGGAAGCGCGAGCTGTGGTTCAAATACAGGGACAGACTTACGGCCAGCGGGTGTCCCGAAGTGAAGGACTTTCTGCTGTGGACTCCGTCTCCTTTCGCAAACATATACATAACACCCTTAGAGCTCGACTACACAGACGTCAGGCCATTGCCCGACACTTTTCACGGCTTTGATTACTATAAGCGATCGGGAGATCAGGAGTTGGCGTTTGAATTGCCGGCGAAGTTGGCCAACAGATCGGGAAAATTGGTTTACCTATCGTTGGGTTCAATGGGCGGCGGAAATGTCGCTCTAATGAAGAGATTGGTCGCGATTTTGGCCAAATCTCGGCACCGGTTTATTGTGTCGAAAGGTGTTAAGCATAACGAGTATGAATTGTCGGCCAATATGTGGGGCGAGCGGACAGTACCGCAGCTGCGAGTGTTGCCAATGTGTGATGCGGTGGTCACTCACGGCGGCAACAATACTGTCACCGAAACCATGTATTTCGGGAAACCTATGGTAATAATGCCGTTATTCGCCGACCAATACGATAACGCACAGCGAGTAATGGAAAAAGGGTTTGGTTTACGAGTCGATGCCTGGAAGTGCTCTGAAGAGGAATTATTGCAATCCATTGATAGCGTATTGAAGAACACAGTTATGGCCGAAAAGTGTGCGAAAGCTTCGCTTAGGATTCAAACCGAGAGACGGATTGAGAAATTAGTTGATTTAGTCCACAGTTTAGTTAAATTATAAATAAAACATTGTTTTTATAAAATATATCATTATCTCTCTCTCTCTCTCTCTCTCTCTCTCTCTCTCACACACTCTCTCATTCACTCATCAAATAATTAAATTAAAACACAATTTTATAAAACAAAATATAATTTCCTTTTAATAATCAAAAAATAATAATAAAACTTGAATTAAAGAGAAAAACAATTCATTTAGCAATCGATTGAAGGAATTGAGAG